ATTTTTAATGCTCCCCGTCGCCATAGAAACCCCAGCTCCAGCCGAACTGCAGTGCAGAGCAGCGCTGACCTTCCTCCCTCCTCCCCTTCATCCCCCCAAAGGCGGATCAGAAGAGGCGCCTGCGCCAGCGACGCCTTGGGAAGGCCAAGGGCGAGCGGGCAAACACCCCTCCCCAGGGTGATTTGAGAGGGTGCAGCCTCCGCAGCGACACCCCTGACCCACGCAAGGGGCTGCGGGGCAGGGGGGAACGCGCCGGGGGCATGTTACCGAAACGGCTTCCAGGATCTGCTTGACGACATGGGCCGCATCCCGCTCGCTGTAGAAACCCCTCTCCACGATCCTGCGGGCACAGCGGGTCAGCGCGGCAGCACCCCGCCCCGCACGGGCCCCCCTCACCCCCCGTTCCCCCAACCACGGTGTGCATCAGCCCCCTCCATCCTCATCCTCGCCCCACCATTGAGAGGAGACTGTTTTTCCCCCCTTGTCAGGAGCCGGGATCGCAGGCCGGGTGTACCTGTCGAAGAGCTCTCCTCCCGTCACCAGCTCCAGGATGAGCGCGATCTCGGAGGGCGTCTCGAAGATCTCCTTCAGCTTGATCTGAAAGGGGCGACAGGAGGATGCGGATGCAGAGGCTGGGGGGGGCGGGAGGGGGGCGCGCGGGGCCGGCCCGGCAGGAGTGCGCGGCCGCCGGACCGCGGCGTGTCAGGGGCTTGCCACGGCAACCGGCACGTTTCCCCTTCTTGCCTATTTCTTTTGAACAGGAATTTTTTTTTCACTGTTTGGAAGAGCCCTGCTCACTTAATCATGCATTAAAGATGACGCTGGGAACGGGAAGAGACGGGCACGCAGCGCCTTTATCCTCTTCACGTCTCCAGGCTCGTTAGCTGGAAGAGGAGCTCTCCGGAAGCTTTTTAATTTTGCAGCTTCGTCAGCCATGCTGGCACCTCGGGTCCAGCCCTGCGGCGTGGGAGCGACCTGCCCTCGTCCCTCCCGGGACCGATCCTGCACATCTGCACTCGCAAGGACGCACGGAGCCCCGAGAGGCCAAAACCACCTCCGGGACCGGGACCCTGCGGCCCCGCACGTGCTTTTGGAAACGTCCCTTGGGCCGTTTTGCAGCAGAGGCGGCACTAAAAAACCAGCGGGTCTCTCCTGATCTCTGGTTTTTAGCTCCCACGCGAGGTGAGCTTGTCTGCACGAGACCTTTGTGCCACCGCAGCAAATCTGGACTTAACAGGTCTCTCTTAAAAATACGTCAATCTGCAATTATTTTTTTTTAAATGGAAAACAGAGGATTTCATGCTTCTTAAGACTTTCGTGACACTGCGAATTTCATGGGGCTTTAATCATTACCTTCGTAGGCTGGGTGAAAGCCTTGATACCCCGCAGGGTGAGAGACACTATGTGGCAGCTTATTGCATTATAATAATACACAGAAGCACTATAATTTTCCTATTAACTTCAAAAGTTTACAATCCTATTATCATCCGCTGTTGAGGTTGGTGCTGAACGATAGTGAGCGCGTAGACGGCAGCGGCGTAAATAATGAAACAGAGCATCTCTTCTTGGAAAATCACTTGAACTTGGGAGTGAGCAGAACCCCACGGAAAACTGAGTGATTTAAATATTAAAACGGCCCGACTGGTTCCTCCCCCACGTCTCCATGGTGCCACTGCCTGGAGAGTAAAGGAGGAGGGGGGACAAAAATGGGATTTGCTGTTGCAAAAGTGTTCTGCTAACACTCCAGAGAGGAGCCTCTCCTCGTCCATGGCCGGTATCAGCCGAGCATCCTCCCAGGCTGCTCCGAGCGGGTGATCCCTGTCTGCCCTGTTGTCCCTGCGCTTGCCTGAATGTCCTGGGACGGGGGAAGCATCTCCACGGAACAGGCTGAAGTGCCTGATTGCCCCAAAACACTGAAACACCCCAATGCCGAGCTGGCCCCGAGGCTTGGGGACAACCTCAGCTCCGGCACGTTTGCCCCCATCGTCCCTGTTCTGAGGAAGTTTCGGACTTCTCTTGGCTTCACCTCCTCACATCAAGGTTTTGGGCGGTGGCGGGTGGGCAGGATGTCCCCGCTGGGCTCCTCCAGAGAGCAAAGCCTTATTGCTCCAAGGACGGTTGACACAGGCTGGGCTGGAAGCCGCCTGTGCCCATGGTTTTGAGCTGTATCACAAAAAAAGTGGCAGCAGCAGCCAGCGGCGAGGCGATGTCCCAGCAATGTCCCGGCGATGTCCCGGCCACAAAATCAATTGG